CTATCTATCTATCTATCTATCTATCTATCTACCTACCTACCTACCTACCTACCTACCTACCTACCTACCTACCTACCTACCTACCTATCTATCATCTATCTATCATGCTCTCCTGTCCAGCTTCATGTGTCATGTGAATCCAACCACTTGGGCTGTGGAGGGGGAGGAGAGGCTGGCAAGTAAAGCCAATCATTAGACATTCACACAACTTCAACCTGGATCCTGTTGGGAATATCCCCCCTTCCTTCTCTCTCTCTCCCCCATGGCGGGGGCCCAGGCAGCCAGAGTGCAGTTTCCTCCCTGAAAACAACCGGCAAGTAAACAAACAAACATGGCACTCTGGCTGGGAGGTGGTGGCATGGAACCTCATCTCTTACCAGCAAGAGCTAAGCAAGCAGGATGCACACCTTCCCCATCGCTGCTGCAGCTCCAGCGCTGGCCGGGAGGGATGCGCAAGCCGAACATTTGGAGCCATGCATGGCAGAGTTTGCAAGCAGGCTTGGTGGGGCTGCTTAGTGGGGACACGCCGGCCCCTTTGGTTTGCTGCAGTACAAAGTGGGAACGCAGAAAGCATTGCAGGTGGGAACACAAAAGGCAAAGAAAATCCAAAAGACTCCTTTGGGGCAACTTTTTCTGCTTTTGAAACATGTTTAGCAACAATAAAAAAGAAAAAAAACTTTTGGAATATCATTTCTCTTTCCCTCCCTCTCTCTTTTCCCTCCCTCCCTCCCTCCCTCCCCCTCTCTGTGCCTCCCTCGCTTTCTTTCTCTTTCCCCTCACAGGGGATGGGAAGGAACTCCTGAACTGGTGCTGGGTGGTGGGAATGATATCTGAAGACCAAGGAGCCCAGGAGCAGCGCGCCCACGCTCAGTCAGCTCTGCAGGACAAGAAATTGCTTTTTTTGCCGAGCTGAGCCGATGCAGGGTCTCATTGTGGCTCCACATCGTAATGGGCTTCAGGAGGAGGACGGGATCCTGTTTCCCCCATTGTGAAGCGTGCAAGTGAAAAAGGTCACTCAATCAATTCCAACTTCATGAGATCTTTTTCTTTCACATGAAGTTGGAATTGATTGAGTGAAACGCGATTGCAGTTGGGCTGGGGTGACTGCGCACATGCCCATAGAGAGAGATCGACATGCCATGTCTGGCACTCATGCCATAGGTTCGCCATCATGGCACTAGAGTATAAACTGTAATTCCTATAACAATGGTAATTTGGTAGATTCCCCCCTCAACACACACATTCTTTCCATTATTTTTAACTGATCCCTATTATAATTGTATGTTTAGTAGCGTTTAGAAATGAATTTTCTTCTTACAAATGTTTATTGTGATTAAATCTCTGTGCAGATACCTACATTCTATCCACAACTATAGGACGAATGAACCATTTGTTGTACTCAGAGCAATTCACTATGTGGTCAAAAGTGAGATTGGATTTTGGACAGCGTGGACATTTATGTCAGAAAATTGGTCAGATCTGTCCTTTGGGTAATGACAATCAAGTTTCATGTCTTGGGGGAGAACATTTGTCCTGAAATATTTTATTTCATTATGCATGATCAACAGAAATAGACATCAACATTTAGGAACAAAAATCCTGTTTGTCTGTCTATTTATTTATTTATGAAAATCTAAAGAGCTACATTATAGGCAGCAACACTGTGGTATGAATCCAGAAAAATTATTCTATACTTCCATTCATACTGGGACTGTAAACTCACAGAAAGCTGGGAAGTAATTTTTATTAATCTCTTTTCTATGCAACCTGAATCAATTCTAAACTGTGCGTTATTCTTTTCTTCTCCTATTAGCATTCCATGAGCTGAAATCTAGATGCGCTTAGGCTCACTAGATTTATTCAAAGCTACATGGGCTGAGAAAGAATCGGATCAAGTGCAGTGTGAACTTTCCTTACAGATGTTTATTTATTTAAAAAAACTTATATAGCTGCCCATCTTAAGTACATAGCCCTAAATCAATCTGTTTTGACACTTCAGTTTTATTCTTTCAAAGTAAGTTTGAGTAAAAATTGAAAGGTGAAAATATTACAGCATAAACTTTTTTTCAAAATATACTTTTCCTTTATAAAAAGTAACAATGCTCTTGGTTACAGGCTCACAATGGAGGGTCTCATGACCACTATCACTACTGACATTCAAATCCAAATGGTAAGTGGAATAAGAAAATGTAGTGTAATAAAAAGTACTTGCCCTGAAATGGAAGAGTCCAATTATTTTTATACCAAATGCTGCACTTAGCATTTGAATGGCATGTTGGGGCCGTATTACTCTAAGAATTGGAAACCCCTGCCCTAAAATACAAGCCAGTTTAGTTTAGTGGTTAAGCTGTTGGTGTAGAAACCAGGAGATAGTGAATTGTAGATATCCCTTAGACATGGAAGCCAATTGGGTGACTTTGGATCATACACTATCTCTCAGTCCAAGCCACCTTACAGGGGTTGTTATTGTGGGGAAAATAGGAAGGACTATTACTGTATGTTTGCTGCAGTGGTGGGATTCAAATAAATTAACAACCAGTTCTCTGCCCTAATGACCAGCTGAGTAGGTGTGGCTCAGTAGTCATGTGACTGGGTGGGCATGGCCAACTCAACATCACTCATGTTGATGGGTGTTTCACCTTAGCTGTTACAATGTCATAAGGGTTAACCAGAGAGGCAGTTTCTATAAAGATTAGGCTAGGAGCAACACCAGAATGTTTCCCTCCTGCCTTCCTTATAGGATTAGCCCTGTAAAGTGGAAAAACACAAAAGGAGATTTCTTTCAACAACCGGTTCTCCGAATTGCTTAGAAAGTTACCAACCGGTTCTCCTGAATAGGTGCGAACTGGCTGAATCCCACCACTGGTTTGCTGACATAAAATAAAAGTAGGATAAAGATCTAATGATCAATAAATAAACCACAACAATAACAACTTAGAGATTGAAGTGTTGTTAGAAGTCAACTACGCAACACCATACTCAGGGCAGGATTTGCATTTGAAATAAAAATAGAATAACAGAGATGGAAGGGAACTTGGAGGTCTTCTAGTCCAACCCCCTCCTTAGGTAGGAAACCCTATACCATTTCAGACAAATGGTTATCCAATCTCCTCTTAAAAACTTCCAGTGTTGGAGCATTTACAACTTCTGGAGGCAAGTTGTTCCACTGATTAATTATTCTAACTGTCAGGGAATTTCTCCTTAGTTCTAGGCTGCTTCTCTCCTTGATTAGTTTCCATCCATCGCTTCTTGTCTTGCCCTCAGTTGCTCTGGAGAAGAGCTTCCCCCCCTCTACTTTGTGGCAGTGCCTGAGATATTGGAACACTGCTGTCATGACACCCATAGTCCCTCTTTTAATCAAACTAGACATACCCAATTCAAACAACTGTTCTTTATACGTTTTAGCATCCAATCCCGTAATCATCTTCATTGCTCTTTTCTGCACTCTTTCTAGAGTCTCTATATCTTTTTTACATTGTGGCGACCAAAACTGGATGCAGTATTCCAAGTGTGGCCTTACTAAGGCATTATAAAGTGGTATTAGCACTTCACGTGATCTTGATTCTATCCCTCTGTTTATGCAGCCTAGAACTGTGTTGGCTTTTTTGGCAGCTGCAGTACACTGCTGGCTTATATTTAAATGGTTGTCCATAGGACTTCAAGATTCCTCTCACAGTTACTACTGTTATTGTATAGCTGGCTACCATGCTTCAGTTGGAAGATCTCCACTGAAAATAAACATACAACTTTGTAAGGCAAGTTATTTCAATGGCTGACTCTTAATGTCAATAAATTTCCATCTGTGATCTTAAATAAATCTACTTTCCTGTAGCTTTAGCCCATTGGTTGTGGTCCTGATATCTGGGCTAACATATAAGTCAGTTATCTTCCCTGTATCTGAAGTCTATCTTTATCTGCCCCAGCTTCTTGCAGTTGTGTTAATTGGTCATCATTGTTTCCAGCCCCCTTATTCTCTTGGGAGTGCTCCTCTGAACTTGTTCTAATTTGCTAGTATTCTTTTCACACTGCAATGTCCACAACAGGACTCAATATTTCATATGGGAATTAACCAGGACAGAATAAAATGGGTCAATTACTTTCTGAAATCTGGATTCTACTCCCAATTCTTAAATAGCAATAAGAAACTTATCGTATGTTAAGCTTCCATTCTACTGCTATACTGACAGTTTATGTATATCAGCTTTTCATCCTGCCTTTATTATTTTTTATAAATAATTCAAGATGGCAAATATACATAATACTCTTTTCCCCACAATCACAATCCTCTGAGATGGTTTGGGTTGAGAGAGAATGACTGTCCTAAGGTCATTCAGATGGTTTTTCATGCCTAAGGAAGGGTCCTAGTTACTAGCCTGGTGCCTTAACCACTAGTCCAACACCTGGGGTATAAATCTGGGATGCCTGAACTTCCACCTAATATTTAAAGGAGTTACTTTCTGTGGTCAACTTTTATTTTTATAAGATATCCCCATTTGAGTTTCTCTCTAACTTACTATGTGGAGTCCCATTCCCTTATACTTCGTGTGGCATTTAGAAGGAATTTTGGGCTGCTGGGGAAGGAGAAGATGGAAAGCAAGCTTGTTAGATTTTTTTTCCCAGTGAAAAGTTTTATCTCCACTTTTGTTCCCAAAATTACTAAGAACAAGAGTTAAGCCATTTCCATTTATATTTTTATTTGATTTGTATAATCACTTGTCTCACAAGAAATGGCTTTGAGTGGGATGATGATGATGATGATGATGATGATGATATCCATTCAGTCACGTCTGATTTTTGGTGATCTTATGGGCCAGGTCTCTCCACATCTTCCAATCTTTCACTACTTCTTTGAGTGTTTCCAGCCAAAGCATAGAAAAAGAATACAATAATCAAATAAAAACTATTATGTAAAACAATGATTATAAAATATAAAATTTTTATATTATTATATTATATTATATTATATTAACATAATGTATATTATATACATTATTAAAAATTTCAGGATATTAAAAAAATATTCAAACCAGAGCCATGGTGAGAATGAATAGTGTACCTATCTTAAGATGTTGTCGGTTTCCTGGGAACCAAGCTTGATGATATAACCAGGTCTGCAAGGGCTTTTGGAACATTGACAAGGATGGCAGTAACTTGACTTTCCATTTATCTGTACACAATTCCTTCTATATTGTAAAGGATTATGTGTATCTGATATACATTATATTATGTTAAATTTTGTCAAAATACACTGTTGAGATGAACACTTGCCCTTATTAATCTTAGTCTGCTTTATTTTAGGTACAAGTATTTCTTAATAACACCCTTGGACCTGAAGAAAAGATAGAGGCTACAGAAACAATGATGAAAGAAAAATATGAAAATGAAAAAATAAAAAAAATCTTAACCAGAATGGTCATGTGGTTAAAGGAAAATATGGACAATTAATAGCTGAGCCATTTCTTTTTTTAAAAAAGATATCTTCATAAAATTTCCCGGATTAAAAAGATGTTACTTTGGTTATTCATACAATTGTTTTTCTGTGCAATCAATAAACCACCATTCAGGGCAAACCAAACTACTTGTATTAAATACATTGTTTTCTCCTAGGACCAATATCTACAAAAACATTTGCATATTTTGTGAAATTCTTCCTCTGTAAGAATGCATTTCCAGATGCTATGTAAAAGGAACTTCAAGGAACATTATACACACACACACACACACACACACACACATACATACATACACACACACACATGTATGTATGTATGTATGTATGTATGTATGTATGTATGTATGTATGTATGTGTATATATATAATGTTCTTGAACAAAGGACACTTTTATTTTTTGAAATGAACTGGAAGCTAGAAGACTTTGTTGTTCTCTAATGTACCCTAGGAAATGGGACTTGAACATTTTCAGAACTATAGTTTTTATTTTTTAAATGAAAATGATG